AGAGCGGTTGTGTGAATACACCCAAGATTGGGATGCAGCTGTTGCTGGGGTAGACCAAGGCGTGGGAGGGTCCCTGTTGTTGTTTTTGTTCAGTTGCACAGTCGAGTCCGACTCTTCGCGACCCCATGGACCAGATCACGCCAGGCCTTCCGGTCTTCCACCGTCCTCTGAAGTTTGCTCAACTTCATGTTCGTTGCATCTGTGACACTGTCTAACCATCTCATCCTTTGCCGTCCCCGTCTTCTTTGACCATCAATCTTTCCCAGCATCAGGGTCTTCTCCAGTGAGTGCTCCCTTCTCCTTTGGTGGCCAAAGTATTTGAGCTTCACCTTCATTATCTGGCCTTCCAGGGAACAGTCAGGGTTGATTTCTTTCAGGATTGACTGATTTGATCTTCTTGCAGTCCAAGGGACGCTCAAGAGTCTTCTCCAGCACCATAGTTCAAAAAAATCTATTCTTCGGCGCATGGCCTTCCTTATAGTCTAACTCTCGCAGCCATACATGACTACTGGGAATACCATTGCTTTGACCATGCGGACTTTGGTTGGAAGGGTGATGTCTCTACTTTTTATCATGCTGTAGAGGGTCCCTGGTTCAGTGGTAAATCATCCACTTGGCATGCAGAAGGTCCCAGGTTCTGTCCCCCACAACCCCAGTTAAAAAAGGATTGAGTAGTAGGTGATGTGAAAGACTTCTGGCCTGTGGCCCTGGAGAGCCGCTACCAGTCTGAATAGACCACACTGACCTTGATGGTAAAAGGTCTGATTCAGTATAACGTAGCTTCATGTGTGTGTTTGGGGGTGGGACACGGCTCAGTGGCAGAGCATCTGCTTGGCATGCAGAAGGTCCCAGGTTCTGTCCCCCACATCCCCAGTTAAAAGGACCAGGTGATGTGAGGGACCTCTGCCTGAGACCCTGGAGAGCTGCTGCAGGTCTGAGTGGACAACATTGACCTGGATGGACCAAGGGCCTGAATCATTGAGGAATTTCACATTACCCTTTTTAACCCGTTTTGAAGCTGTTTTTGATCCGTCATGGAGTAAACTGGTATAGGGCTGCCATTTCACACATGGCTTTCCCCTTCCGGTAAAGAGCTGGATCTGAAGCGGTTTGCCATTTCAGACTGCACCGCTTTTTCCCCGCCATTTTTCGCCCGTGCGGGCGATCTCCGGCTTTTTTTTAATGTTCGCTTTATAGCGCTATAGCGCTATAGCACTTTAACAAAACACTCCAGGCATTCCAATGGGGTTGATATACTGCTGTTCCGTTATAGCGCTATAGCGCTATAACACTATAAAGCAAACATTTTTTAAAAAAAACCTGGAGATCGCCCGCGCGGGTGAAAAACGGCGGGGAAAAGCGCATCAGAACCAGGAGAGGAAACTGAAGACTACTTGGAAGCGGTTGACAGGTAAAATGCTTCAGCCCCATTTCCTAAATGGGACAGAAGCGTTTGTGTCTGAAATTGCAAATATATTCCGGTAGGGAACCAGTTCTAAAACGGTTCTGTCTGAAATGACAGACCAGAAACCGTTTGGGAACCGTTCCTCTTCCGGATTATATTGTCTGTCTGAAATTCCTCATTATGTCAGCATCATGTGTTCATGTGATTTTACAGGCGTATGCTGCCTGAGAGTCTGAAGGCTGAGATCTAGTGTCATGTAGAGATAATGTAACCTCAGCTTCTGGTTCTGTGGGGCAGAACGTGGAATGAATCTTGCAATCATTCAGAGAGAATAAAACTTTTTTGTTTTACTTTTTCAATTAACATCATGTAACAAAAGCACAGAATTGAGGAACACAACCGAACAGGGAACTTTTAATATCCAAACCATTAACTTCTTCCTTCTTCACACCCCCCAAAGTCCATCCTTCTCCTCTTGTTGGTGGGCCAAGAAGTCTCTAGATGAACACTCTGTGCACCCGCTTCGAAAATGAGGGTCACAGTTGAACTCCCAACCGATGCTCCCTCTAAGCTGTGGAGTCTTGTGAGCAAAAATTCCACTTTGTGAGCTACTGGCAATA